AACAGGGAGTGATGTGATAGGATGTGACAGCTCCATCGTGTCAACGATTTGTTCAAATGTCAGATAACAGAGTAAGAGAGAACTGGAGAATTTCTGCTTTGAAGTATTTGCTGAAACCCCCCAAACACTTGGTTTGTGATGCAGAGGCCTTTTAATTGCATTGAGTTGTGAAGGAGGAGCTGGGCTGGGAGGACTTGGTGGTCTGGGTGCTGCTCTGGTCGGTGTGTGACACTCATGTGAGAAGTTGGGTGTCACCATCCTCGTCCCATGACTTGTGTGTTGATGAATGTATTCAGGATATGCAGCCACTGTGATTCCAGAGGGTTCCAGAAAGCAATGCTCCCTGGAACCACACACAGGATCTGTTTGTCTCTGGAATGAAGAATTATTTTTATAGAAAGCACCCTGCTGTTATCCCAAAGTATTCCATTTTAACTGAATGCTGTTCGTTTATCAAGACGCGAGAGAATTCGGGTCCTTTCGTGGCACTGTTGGAGCTTTGAACTTTGTGCTCTTGTATTATGCTGCTTTGAATTCTACCAACAACTGCAGCAGTGGCAGCAGGAAACTGAATACATGGTTTGAATATTAGTGACCACGAATGCATATTTTAAAATGTTAAATTATTGCAAATAATTGCTGCATTAGCATTGAAATGCAAGCATTCTGATCACGTGTGCATTATTTACAAACCATAGTATTTGTATAGGATTTAAAGTGCCTGCTGGCTTTTTTCAAATATCACTTTAGTTCAGTTTTGTAGACAACCAAAAAGAAATGACACAAAAAAATGAAGAAGTTCTCTTATGAATTGTGATAGAATACTTCTATTGTCTAGTGTATTAGTAGATGGTTTTTGGCAGCTCACCAGATCATAAGCATACTTGCAGTTCCGATAGCTTTGATATCTTTATGCAAAACTGAGCACTACTTTAAATGTTCATAGTTTGAAGGTTTAAACTATGTCATTTGGAGAGGATGAAAACTGAGCTACTATTTATTCCAAACAGGATTCTTCTTGGGCAGGATAGACCCTTGTAGGTGTACCTACCTTTTCTCCAGCCCCTTGGCGGACGCTTAATCTCCCTGAGGGCTGTACATAAATAAAACCACTATGTTTAATTAAATTTGAAAGATGTCTTCTTTTTGAGTGATATTACAGTGTTTTCTGTGCAAGGATATAAGGTCCTGGAAACCAGGAAGAACAGGCAATATGTTTTGACTGTGGAAGCATACCTAGGAGTTCACAAACCTATGTGCCTATAGTTGAGTGGAAAGCTTTGCTGGGAGTTGGACAACTTTTGATACAACATAACATTCTAATATCTATTTAAAAAAATAATCAAATATCCCCTGCAGTCTTACAAGCTGTGTTGTGTTTCTCTTTCCTGTGGGAGGTTGGTAGCAGTAAAGCTGAAGTATCTTTTTATGACTTGAGAAGACTGTAATAAAAAATATGTTCTGAAATGTGTTAGCAAATTGGTTTAAAAACACATTTCTGTGTTTATAATCTTTACTTGGTTCTTTGTGTTACATTTCTTCATACTTGATGACTGGGGAATTTGTGGAACAAGTGATTCAGGATGCTTTTGGGATCATTGGCTCAGTTTTAGGCATGACATATGTTTATCTTATGCTGCTCACTGAAGCCACCATATCCTTTCACGTGGTAGGTCCGTGCTGGCATTACTATAAAAAGATTGTCCTTCTGCAACTGTGTTGGAGAAAGAGGTTTTTAACCTGAAAGGTCAATGTTTGGTTTGTTGCTGTGAAGCAAAAATCCTTCACAGTTTCTTTACAGCTAGAAGGACTTCTTCACTCTATCCACACCTGTCTTGTTTTAGGCAGCAAGCTCATGATGATTTTGTTTTGTTTTGTTTTCCAGGGGCCAACTGGGTTATGAACGGCTGAATTTATCTGAAGTGTTGGCAATTCTAATTTATTTTGGTTTTAAAGATTGCCTTATTTGATTAGTGGTAGTAAATAAATCCCACATCGTGGTCTGAAATTACCCTTAGCTTGCAGTTTGCTAGGTACACACACAGGCATATTTTCCTTTTGTGTGTGTGTGCATGTCTGCAAAATTTAAAGAGCTCTGTATGATCCACTTTTTAATTCAGCTTGCTATTCCTGTAACATATTTATATGCTAGAGACTTTATAAACTTGTTAGGTGGCAGTTGCTTTACCTTGAACATTATCTCCAGGCTGGCTTTTCAAGAGAACTCCACATGCCTTTACAGTTTTTGCTAATGTGTTCTAAAATGTCTTGTTTTAAAGCTTCTTCACTTTCATGTTTTGCCAGCAAGAATTAAATTGTGGTTACATGTCTGTTGAAGTCTGTTCCAAAGCCTGGATGGCTGCTGAAGGGCCTGCTCCCCTCATCAACTGTTTCTGCTGTATCCCTGTAGGAGCACAAGGATGGGTGAGCTGTGTGGATTAAGGGACTCACCCACCTGAAGTCAAATCTCTCCTGACTTTTCTCACAAAAAGGGATTAGTTTTGGAGAAATCCTTTCCCTCATCCAGCTTGCTGCAGGGCTTCTGGTAGCATGAGAGGCAGGAGGACTGAGTACCTGAGGAAGGAGAGGGAAAGCAAGACTGCAGTAGCAGTCAAGGTTAATGCAGGATTAAAGTTCCTTTGTAACTGCAGCCCAAGGTCCTGGGAGGAGGCTCAGCTGCTGCTTTGTGAATTACAGGGCAGGAGAGGCTGCCTTATTTGCATCTTGGCTAATTTTCTGCTGTCCAAAAGTTTTGATCCTATGTTGCTACATCATTTTAAGTCAGTTGACTGTACAGTGTGTTCAAAATACATGTAAAGATAGCCTGATTTATGGCTGAATTTGAATAGCAGTAGAGTCCTGTCATTTGTTGGGTCCTGAATTTAGTTGTTCATCACTTTCAATTCAGTTATAATGTGTGAAAGGAACTGCCAAAATCATAGGCTTATAATCTTCATGTATTCCTGATATGGATGCAAAGATTTGTAGAGATACTTCCTTCTGTTTCTTTCTCTCTTCTGTCGCTGGGCTTTCTCCCTCCTTACTTTTTCTTATTTCACATCGTTAAGTCTAGCATATATCTCAGTGTAATGGATCCCATTAATTCATTCAGCTTTTTTTTTTTTTTTTTGTAAGCTACATTCTCCTCTATTTCTGTGTCATTCACCTTTCTCTTTCTGCTGCCTTGCCTTTGTGTGGTTATTTTCTGTCGCCCATACTTTCATCCAAATCTCCGCCTTCTGAAGGTTGTTCCCTTCTTCCAGTTTGTCAACTTATTTTTCGGTTTTCCTCCCAAATACTTCATCTCTTCTCTAGTCCTTTCTTTAGCCAATTATGAGCTTGTGAATTTTCATTAGTTCTTGGGCATCGCCTCTATTTCTGAGGTACATTTGTATTTAATGTTCAGTAGTACTGTTTGCACCTACTACGTTTGTTAAGCCTCTGTGTTTACTTTCTCACTGGGGAGATTTTTTTGCTGGTCTTCCTTAACAATCGGAGGACTTTCTGGTCTTGGATGCTGTTTCCCTGTCAGCTGGCACCTGCTTCTGCTCTGCTGAGACTGTAGCAGGATAGATGTGGACTATGTGATAGAATCACAGAATGGTGAAGGTTGGAAGGGACCTTAAAGATCATCAGGTTCCAACCTCCCT